TTGCTTCCCTTCTTGTATCATGGGCTGGAATTGAGTCATGTGCCTCAAGCTTTAGCCAATCAGCAGACAAGAAGCAGCAACTGGCCTGAACAACCAGATGACCAAGTGGAAGAAGGAAGTGACCTCAGCCAGTCTGACCTTCTATGAGAAAAAAAAATGGGGGAATCCATAGAAGCATCTGCTGTGGTCCTTTCCCCAGATGTCTACCTTCCACCCTCATTGTCTCTAAGAATGGCTGTCTCACTGCAGGACAATGAAAGATCACTTCTCTAGAGATCCTCGGATGGGCCTGTCTCCACTGCAGAGACCTGGCATCCTGTGCCTGGAGGACACTGCTGGGTGACTCCCACATGGGCCTCAGGCCATGTTTTTCTACTGACTTCTCAGGCAACCCGTTGCCTATTTCCCAGAACTTTCCACCCCTTCCCCTGCTGGGCCTCCCTTTGCCTCCCGTCCTTCCCTCAGGAACACATTGGGTCACCTGTGCCCCTGACACTTGCACAGCTGCTGGGGCCACTGGTTTTTAAGGCAGACAGAGAACAGGCTGGACCAGACAGTCATTCAACTCTGAGCAAGCCCCCCACCCCAGCAGTGCACCTTGTGCTGAGTCCCTACAAGGGACAGAAGCTGGTCAGCAACCATTTCTCTCTGGCTGCTCTGTGAATGCTGTGGCCTGGGTCCCCAACAGTGACAGGCCATACAGAGGATGAGCAGAGTAGGGAGGAGGAGGGACCCAAGGACAGTGCTGCCATGTCCTGGAGGGCACCATGCGCCTGGAGGATGCTGCTGGGCAACTCCTCTGTGGGCCAGCCTCCTGGTACCCCCTGCCCAGGATGGAAACAGCCACTTCCTTGTCCTATGTGGCTTCTACTGCTGGCTCCTAGTGACCTCACTGATATCAGAGTGAGGCCCAGGCATGGACAGGGCATCCTGGGCGGCCCCCTGAGAGCAATGGCCCTTGGCAATGCTATGATGGTGGCAGGAAGGTGCATTTGACTTCTTTACCTTTGGGTCAAGCCCACTTGTGATTTTTCTTCCTCTCTTTTGTAATATTGGAGAGTGAATCTAAGACTCTTTCACTGAGCTATATCCCCAGCCTTTTTTTTCTTTCTTTCTTTTTGAGACAGGGTCTCACTAAGTTGCTAAGACTTGTCATGAATTAGTGATCCTTCTGCCTCAGACTCCTAGAGTGCTGGGATCACTCCTGGCTGTGATTTGGCTTTTAAGGTCCTTCGTGACCCTGCTGGTGCCTGATATGGGCCTGACCTCTAGCCCCTCACTGTCTCTCCAGCCATGGCAAGGTTCCAGAGACAGCCAGACTATTCCACCCCAAACTTTGTGTGCAGTGTTCTCTCCCTGGGACACTGCAATCTGGCCAAACTTCTGGGAGGAGCACCATGTGCCCTTTCCCAGGAGGTGCTCATGCTGAGCCCTCTGTACTATCTCCTGCAAATTGGAGGAGAAAAGGGGTCCGAGGGGTGGGTTAAGTAAATGAGCTTGGGCTGTGTCTCGAGCAGGGCCTCGGCACAGCGGACAATAGTGTCTCTCTTTGTTTATTCCCCTTGCTGTCATCTGTCTGACTCTGCCACAGTATTCTAGGATCCAAGGCCAGGGACCATGTTAGTGTAGTCTGTCTCCAAAGTCAGGACTTGATGGACTGGGGATTTAGCTCAGTGGTTCTGCTGCCTGCCATAAGCGCAAGGTCTGAGTTCCATACCCGGTACCAAAAAAAAAAAAAAGACAAGACTTGGCATACAACACACATATGCAAATGTTCAGGAGTCCTCTGACGTGACCTGGACACATAGCCTGTGACACAGAAGTGAGCAATGATAACCTCTCAGTGCTAGTCCTAATCTCATGCCAGGGAAGCTCACGGGGGTGAACGGCTTTGTTACCTGTGGCCAGAAACAGGAGCTGAAATGAACTAGGTTAATCCCACTATCATTTGGCTCAACCTTTCTTTTTGTTTTGTTTTGAGACAGGGTCTTGTTATGTAGTTCAGGCTGGCCTTGATGATCCTCCTGCCTCTGCTTCCTGAGTGCTGAGATGGTGTGTGCTACCATGCCCAGTGCTTCCCTGATTTGTACGGTCAGCAGCCTGAGAAGAGGCCACATGGCAGGCTCAAGGAACCCGTGCTTGCCCCACAAGCTGGCCACATGGTAGGGCTCTCAGCAGTGCCCAGGGTTTCCTTATGGCTGGGCAGCTCTGCCTGCCACACCCTGAGGGCTGCTCAGTGCTGAGGACAGCCAGGTCCCCAGGGCAAGCTAGCCTCCTGGACGATGCAATGCCTACACACATGACTATCCTGAGAACCTGGTCCCCTGAGGAGCCTGTGTCCTGCAGCTCTGCCTGCACCTGCCCTTCCTTCCCCGGCCCTCATCTCCACTTGATCCTCTGTGCAACTTCCTGCTGCCTCCAGGTAGCCAGCTCCTTCCATCCACCAGCCTGGAGCTGAGGGAAGGCCCAGCCTGGCCTGGGGCAGGGAGGTAGGACAGGAGGATGGGGTGCTCAGGCCAAAGGGCCACAGGACCACAGTCCAGGCCACTTGACCTTGGGTGTTATGTGTCCACTCATACCTAGATTCTGGAAAGGGGATCAGTACAAATACCACACATTATATATCCTAATTGTGTATAAAGGAGGGAACACACCCCATTAATAGTAATTTTATCAACCCTGAGAACTTTTAGTGATGGTGGCTGGATTTGACCAAGTTGTTTTGGGAGAGCCATTCAAAAGCTTCCTTCTATTTTTGCTGTGCAGCTTAGTAAATGTCCTCATCAAAGGGCCTATGGGAAACATTTCTGAAATATTTAGCATCAGTGATACTTCCTCAGGTGGGAATACGGAAGCACCCTCTACTTTACCCTCAAGGGTTGGGGATGCAGCTCAGTAGGTTCCATCACCATACAGCAAAAAAGCATACACTCAGAAGCTGAGGCAGGTTGTCACAAGTTCAAGGCCAGCCGGGGCTACATAGGGAGTTCAAGGCCAACCTCAGCTACATGGTGGGGGGGGGGGGCAGGAGGAGCCTATAATCCCAGCATATGGGAGGTTGAGGTGTGAGGACTGCCACAAGTTCAAGACCAGCCTGAACCAACAGCAAGACTCTGTCTCAAAAAACAACAACAAAAAATGTTCAAAAATTAAAACTCCCCTAGAAAGAGGAACAATTACATCCATGGGGAAAAAAAAAAAAAGAAAATATAATAATTAAATAGCACCCAGAAGACAAAGCTCTTGGAAATTAAAAAAAAAAAAAAAAAAGAGGTGAGACACTTTGGAAGTCAGTTAAGAGTTTAACAAAGGCACTGGGTTTCTGGCATGAAGCCAGCACTTCAAGTGCCAGCTCAATGAGTGGAGAAGTTTGTGAACCAAACTGAAGACCCCAAAAGCTTCCAGGAACTGGACTTATCATCAAATTGGAAGTAAAGCCAAGGGTACAATTACCTTCAAACTTCAGTGGGAACAGGACATCCAACCTACACTTCAGTAACCAAACTATCAAGTCCACACAGCTTAAAATTATTTTTAACATTCAAAGCCTCAAAAAATGTATTTCCAGTGTGCTCTCAGGATAGTACTTAAGGAAACATGCTACCAAGATGAGAATGTAATCCAGGAGTGAAAACATATGAAACCCAGAAGACAGAGGCCTAAAGAACTCCAGTCCGCATCTGAGCAAGACACTACCAGGCTCCAGGAAAAATGAAATACACAAACAAAACCAGAACAAATAGTGTTTGTGTGAAAAGCTGTGCTGGAGGCATATCAGTTAGAAGGTAAAGGAAAACAGACTCAAATCACAGTTGTGGCACACACTTGTAGTGCCAGCACTGGAGGCTGAGGCAGGATGATCATAAATTTGAGTCCTATCTGGGCAATTCAGTGAGACCCCATCTCAAAATAAAAAATAAGGGCTGAGGATGTAGCTCTGTGGTAGAGCGTCTCGGGGTTTGATTTCAAGTATAAAACAAGAACAGTGACCAAGGGCTGGGAATGTAACTCTGCCTAGCATGTGGAAGGCCTAATTTGATCCCCAGGGCTACAAAATACAGATAAAAATGAGCAACTGATAAAATCATATTAAACTCAAGAAAAATGAAAAGTTGTATAAACACGACATGAAGACCCAGTACATCATGTAGCTCAGCAGCAAAATTACATGTGAGAGGGAGTATCAATTGGCAAGTTACATCACCAGTTTCTCTAATCAAGATTAACAGTACTTAGAAATGTAGATAAATGCAGAAGTACTGAATTAAGTTTTATAAAATGGGATGGGTTGTAAGGACAATGAATGTTTCTAGCCTAATCAAGAACCACGTGATCACTTAAATTGCATTCAGGAATAACTGTGGTAAAACCAAAAAACAATTATAAACTGAATAGTTCACAAAGATTTAAAACAGCAACACTCAAGCTCTTTTGGAGATCTAGTTAAAGGGCTATTTAATTAGAGCCACCACAGTGGTCAGCCATCTCGTCAGGGGTCTAAGTTGGCAGTCACTCTTCTGACTCATCTGCACGCCCAAGTTTACTCATTTTGGGGTTCCCAACCCCACCCACCACTCCTTGACCCCTGGAGATGAACTCTATCCTTTTCCTCCCTTCCTTGTCTACCTTAGGACAAACAGGAAGGAACAAAGGGCATAAGAGTTCTCTTGCTCCAAAACTCCCTCAGCCTCAATCCTGCTTCTCCAATGGGTCCTGAGCACTGGCCAGCCTTCTTCCTCATCCCAGGTACCAGGTCCACACCCAACAGAAATGTCCATTATCTGCTGCCTCCTGCACGGCCTCAATCAGATCAAGTCAGTGGTACCTAGGAGGATGTCAACATCAAAGGGCTAGCTCCTTGGCCCACCAACCGCAGACAGCAGTGGAGTGCTGGAAAGTGGCAGGCAAGTGCCCATCACAGGTTCAACCTCCTAGAGCTTGGAAGCCCTTTGTCACTTTGCCAGAGAACAGCCATAGAAGAACAAAGGCCCCACACCAGATCGTTTTCAATCAAGCTTTTAATGAAAAGATCATAAAATAACAGTTTCTCATCACTGTACATTAAGACTGCACGCTTCTGAATGGAGAGATCAGTCATCAGTGAATCGCTTTTCTATGACACTGGAGGGCTGCATACCTGCAGCTCCAACCTGAATTTATCCAAATTCTCAAGGGAGGCGAACTCAATGTGATGAGTGACAATGGCAGTGGCCAGTACAGGAGTGCGATCCCAGTGTCCCTCCCCCTCTCTGGGAGGGCATAGTAGGACATGATCCCTCTTCCAGTTCCAATGAAACAAACAGCTATAAACCCATCCCTTCCCCTCCCCCTCGAGGTATTTGCAAGTGGGCCAGTGCCCAACCAGGGGCCCCCAGAGGGGCAGGGGGGAAGCAAGTGATGGGTAGGGTACAAAGAGGCTCCCCTCAGCACCTGGCCCCACCGGGCCCTGCCAAGTGGAGGGGGGGAGCCCTGGGGACCCTCCCTGTCCCAAATGAGGTCTGTTATGCAGCATTTTTGAGGTCAATAAATTATAGCAATAAATAGCAAGGTGAGGTAGGGGGAGGGGTTCCTGGTAGAAAATTAAAGAGGGTGACTGAAGCTGGGGGCATCCTAGGAAGGGGGTCCTGGGCAGCCTCAATTCCCACAGCTCCCACCCATCCCTGGTTTGGAATGTCAGACTGAGGCTCTGGTCAGGTCCCTCTCCATTCCATTACTGGCATCCGATTCACAGGTTCAGTAACATCAGCTCCAACATGACTCTGGGGAAGAGCAGAACCTTGGTCCCTTAAAGGGGGCATGGCAGGGCTGAGGACCCCTCTGCTCTTCTCAGACTTAATGCCTTCAGCTTTTGTCCTCCAAGCCTGGGGACAGAACGGATGCAGCACCTGCTTCCTCAGCCCCACCCTCCTGGCTGCCCAGGCCTCCCCCTACTCAGGACGGCCACAGAAGAGCAAGGATCTGCCTGCCCACCCGCCCAGCTAGATCGTACTCCTGCATGGGGGCCTGAGGTCCAGTGAATACTGATGGGGTGGGGCAGCGGGCCATCAGCCCAGCTTCCCCAGTGGTGATGGATGGGAAACATACCCCCCAACTCAGTGACTTTGGGAGAGTCAGTCTGGGTCCAGATTGTTTGTTTCACAGGCTGTGGTATATGGCTATGCTGCGAGTCTCTGAGATTATTTGCTTAAAGGTTCATCTTTTCTTTTTTCCTTTTTTGCAATCCTGGAGGAGCCCTTGCTATGGCTCAGTCAGGCGGGGGAGGGCAGTGGCAGAGCCGAGCCTGCCACATACCCACTTGCTCACCCCGAATCTGAGAAATAAATACATTCATCACTGCACAAACATATTGATACAAAAACAACACTGTTAAGAGAGTTTGCACCATCTGTGTTGGTAAGGACCAGGCCCAGTCAGCCCCTTCTGCTGCCTGGGTTGGGGACCCACTGAGTTGACTGAGCTGTGCAAAGGTCCTGGCTTTTTGGCTTGAGTGAGACCCTTACATCAACTCACCCCAGAGAGTCACGGGCAGAGCAGCAAGGAGAGCTCATTTCCACCCTGGGACCCAAGCCCAGACTCAGGTCCTGTAGCCAGAGCTGACAGCCACCCTGTGCCAGCTGGTCGGGATCACAAAGGTCCAGCCAGCAGGCCTCAGGGACTGGTCAGCACCAGCCCAAGCTCTTTGGTGCCAGCTGGGCTTGGAGAGGTCCCAGGAATGGGGATGAGGGCTCACGTGAGTCCAGAGAGGCTTCTAGCCTGTTCTTGGGCCCCAGGACTACCTCTCTGCCCGTGAACCGTTCCAGGCCGACTCAGAAGGACCTCCCAGCAGAAGGTAACGATTCCCTGGGACTGGCCTTACAGCTGCTGAGGTCTGAAACTGTAGAAGTTTATGTAAACAATGAGATAAATATATTAGTATCTTTTTTCTGAGCCCATTGAGGTTCCATACTCATTCAAAATATGCTTTGGTTTAAAAAATAGGTTTTGTGAATTTGGGTATGAGCTTTTTTTTTTTTTTCCTTTTTTTTGTTTTTTTTTTTTTTATTTTTTTTTTTTTTTTTTTTTTAATTCTTTCGTTTTTATCTTCTTTCCTATATGACATCTGCTATTCTGTTTCCTGTTTCTCCGAAACATTCAGGAATTAAGTGACTAAAGCAGAGAACTGAAAGCCGAGTTGGCCTCCTCCGGCCTAATTTCCTTGTGAGGCTCTTAACATCTGTACACACACACTCTCAAGCACGCACCAGACATGGAGTCAAAGGAAAAGGAAAACAAAACCAAGTGTTGTGTCAACCCCACCCCGCCCCGTAAACCCTTAAAATCTTAAATAGGAAACTAGTGTTTTGCTTTCTCATTAAAATACAGAAAAGGCTTGATACAATACTAAGGTGGGTACAATACTATGTCGCACAGACGTCGTTGAGTGAGGGGGCTTTGCTCCCAGTCCCTGAAGTTCTGCAGAGGAATCACCTACTTTTGAGTCACCTCACAGATGTGGCTGCCCACGGCCCGGGAGGCCACGCACGCGGCCAGGCGTGTGCACAATTCCCGTGCGGTACAGACTTTGTGTCGTGTGGCTTAAGTGCTGATGGGTGGGGTGGGGTCAGAGAGCAGGGGGCTAGGCACAGCTCAGCCTCCTCACTGGGTGGGGTGGAGCCCAGGAGTCTCCTCTGCCAGGTGCTCAGCCTGACTTGTTGGAACTGAGACCCAGGGTCCAGTTCTTTATGTCTCTCACCCAAAGCAAAGAGTGGCCAGCTGAGGACACCACGTGGAGGGCTTAGCCAGGAGCCCTCCTCATGTGGCCAGAGCTCCCTCACTCCCAAGAACACATCATTCACCACTCAGGTCCCTGAACTCAGGCTGTTTTCAGCTGGACGGTCTTTGGAGGGCTGGGGGTAGGGGATGACTCTGGAATTTTTTGGTCTGAACTTAAAATTGAAAGGAAAAAAGAAAAGAAAAACATGAAACAGAATGAAGAAGATAAAGCCTGTTGGCCCAGCCGTGCGGCTCCAGTTGGCCGAGGACGTTGGGACCAAGCATGGCAACCTCGGTCTGGCCTGGAGCCCAGTGGAGGCCCATGGAAGTACTGAAGCTGACTGAGAAGGCCATGGTTAAGGGGCAACAAAACAGCCCATGAGTGATGGCCAGACTCTTACCAGAGTGGCTGGGGGCCAGGCCTGCTCAGAGGCGCCGATCCTTGTTCCCCTTGCTTTGGTCACCTCCTCCGGACACCTCACTGGCCAGGCGGAGGCTGCTGCTCTAAGCTCAAGGTGAGGGGACAGGATGGGAGGGGGCTCACTTCCACCTCATCCTGGCCCTGGCAGGGAGCTGCTGAGACCTGTCCCCTCCCCTCCTAGCTTCTCTTGCTCAGATGCCCTGTACCTGCCCCGTAGCCTGCCCCATACCAGGGACTCTCAACTCTCACCCGGGCTCAGTGAGCAGTGGGTGCCCCGAGGATAGCGTCCAACCCAGGAGGGTGCTCAGGCCAGCCCGAGCCCGGCTCACTCCCCCCAGAGGAAAAGAAAAGCATCTAGGCCTCAACTGCCCATGAACAACATACTGTTTCTGTGAATTCAAGAGGTAGCAAAAGGTCAGAAGTCTCTCCACCTTGTTCAGCGAGGCAGGAAAGTGAAACATCTGTCCATACGCACAGCACACACGACACACCCATACACACAGAAATGAAAAATCCAAGTACCAACGATTCTGGCATTGAGGCCAGCCTCCCCCCTCCCCCAGACCTTCCAGTTCCAACAGTCCCACAAATGTTACACGGGGCTTTCTCAATAAAAAGCAAGTACCTCTAGACAAAGACTATTCCTCGGAAACTACAGGAAAAGCACGCTCTCCTGAGGTGGCCCAGGCAAGGCTGGGGACCATGGAAGCCTTTGGGCCAGAAGGGCTTCGGGCCTGGAGAGATGGGCTTACTGCTGTACCCCATAGCACCTGCCAGAGCTGGGGAGAGGACAGGGAGAGGCAGCTGGCCCGGTTACATTCAGTCTGCAGACCCAGGCTCAGCCCCAAAGAGGCAGGAAGAAATAAACTATTGTTTGTTTTGGTTTAAAAAACAGAATTCAAAATTCAAAAAGGAAAACAAAACAAAACAGAGTAACAACAAAAAAGGAACAGATCAGTAGGAATAACAGCAACACAGGCCCAGAGGGCTCTTTAGTTGTAGAGGCAGGCGGTGGGGTCACCCTGACTGTCCCAGCGCCAGTGAGCAATGCCACCCTGGCTCAAGGAGGGAAGGAGCTGTCCCCTCAACACCTGCTCCTCTCAGAGCTAGGGTCGGACACACCCACACAGACACAAGCACACGTGCACGCACACAGACACGGTCCCTGCCGGGTAGGGGCCTGCTCCAGATACCACCCTTGGCCAGAGGCAACCCTGTCCCTCACCAGCATGGAGGGGGATCCCGCCCAACACACACACTTCCCCTTCCCCAACCCAGCCTGCAGGAAAGGGACTAGGTCCCAGTGAGACCCATGTGACCCACTCCCACCAGCTCTGCGGCAGGCCCTGCAGGGAGCTGGGACCCTGGGTGGGACAGGGAGGTAGAATGGTCACCAGCACCACATGCGCAGGGGTGGGCCCTCTGGCTTCCCTCCTCTTGGCTTCTCTTGGTACAGACTGTTGATTAAAGCTCTGAGTGTAGGGAGGCTGGGCCAGAGGGGCCACCAGGTGCCTACAGCTGGACCTTGGGCTCTGGTCCCTTCTGCCGTGCCGCCTTGCTTCTCTGTGGGTTCCCGGGTGGTGAGTATGAGAGGGCGTCCACGGGTCTTTGGCTTCTAGGAGGGGGAGGTGTGCATGCGCAGGTGGCTGATCAGGTTACGCTGCTGGGTGAACTTGCCCCCACAGAGGTGGCATTCATAAGGCTTCTCGCCTGAGTGTACACGCATGTGCTCGGTGAGGCGGTACTGGCGGGTGAAGCGCATGCCACATTCATTGCAGGCAAATGGCTTCAGGCCCATGTGGCTCCGCTTGTGGCGTGTCATGGTGCCACGCTGTGTGAACATCTTGCCGCAGACTTCACAGGGATAGGGCCGCGTCAGCAAGTGCGACTTCTCGTGCTGCCTCAGAGTGGCTGGGTCCTTGTAGGTCTTCTCACAGATCGAGCACTTGAAGGGCCGAGCCTCTGCTGTGTATGCTGCGCTGGGCGCAGATAGGTCCTCAGCCTCTTCCTTAGCACCCCAGCTTGCTGTCTCATAGGCTCCCTCCTCCTTGATGAACAACTCTTCTTCCGTGTGCGTCTCCACATGGGCATTGAGCTGCTCAGAGCTGGGGAAACCTTTGGCGCAGGGGATGCACACATACAGGTTGTCCCCGTATGACACGGTCTCATAGCCCTCCTGCCGATACATGTAGTGAGCACCAGCATGGCCACTGCCCCCCTCACTCCCACTTTGCCCACTGTCCTCGCTCCCGTCCTTGCCGTTTTCCTCTTCTTCTTTGCAGGGATATGGAGGCTCCCCATAGGGCACACTGGGGCCACCCCCACCAACACTGGCAGCCAAGATGCCATTGGGAACCCTGTCCCCAAGCCCCTCGCCCTCTTCTCCAGAGCAGGGGCCCTTGGGCCCAACTTCTCTCCGCTCAAAAGGGGAGCCAGCCACAGGCTCCTTCTTGCTCCATTCCTTCTTCCGGGCCGAGTGCCGGAGGCTCTTCCGAGGCTGCCCGCCTGGCCCCTCCAGCAAGCTCAGGTGGTTGTCTTCGGCTCCATCCAAATCCATAGGCTCATCAGGGGTGCCACCCAGCTCAGTGTAAGAGGCACTGTTGGCAACAGGCAGGGCAGCGGACAAGGGGGGTGAGCCCTCCTGGCTGTCACTCAGCCGGGCCGGGTCATCAGGCGTGAGGTGGGGCCCAGGGGTGGCAGCAGGCAGGGGTGGGCTCTTCTTGGATAGGTCCAGGCCCAGCTCTTGCTCACAGCCCCCACTGCTCCCGTTGGTGCTGCCACCGCAACCCCCCAGGCCCATCTCCCCACTGGCTGGACAGACCCCCTGGCCCAGGCTGTGCGTGCTCTCCTGGGTAGAGCCACCAAGGAAGAGCTCGTCATCTGAGCCTTTGGCTGGGGGAAGCTCCTGGGGTGCATGGGCCCCCTTGCGCCCATCCACGAGCCCTGGATACCGAGCCTGGATGACAGAGGTTGTGGACAGTCGCTGGCTTCGGGGTGGCCGCCCCATGCTGGTGGCTCCCACCCGTCCTGAGCCAAAGGGCTTACCAGCCCGCTTGAGTTTGCGGCGGCAGAGGGCTGCCAACTCAGGCAGCTGGAGGTAGCTGGCAGCAGTGAGGAGAGTGCTGAAGTTGGGCTCAGCAGGACAGTTGCTGGGCAGCAGCTTGCCGGTGTAGATGAAGTCCAAGATCTGCTGGAACACCGTGGAGCTGACCATGTCTGTGTCCAGGTTGATGAGGTTGTCGTGCAGGACCAGGGACTTGAAGTAGATGCTGCTGGCAGCCAAGACGTTCTTGTGGGCCCGGAAAATGGAGTTCTCCACCATGATGATGACATCACATAGGAAGCCCTTGGTCCTCTGCTGGTTCAGCTGCAGCAGGAGCTGCTTTGAGTGGCTGGGCAGCTCCATGTCGGGCCCCATGTCCCCACGCCCTGCCCACGCGTACCACCTGTAGGCAAGAATAGGCGTATGCATGTTAAACTAGTGCCTGGGCCCTGGGGCAGGGCAGGGTTCTCAGTGGCATCCAAAGGGGCCATGACACTGACCTGGGAATGGAACCCAGAATCAGTCCTACCCCCTCAGGGAGAGTCCACAGGGTACAGGCACTGTGCAGGCATCACCTAACCAAGGACTCAAGCTGTCTGACAAAAAACAAAGCAATCCCCCCAGCCATCTGCACTAAGGAGAAAATGGAGGTCAAGAGCTATGAAGGTTCCAAGCAAACTGGGGTTTGAATTTGACTTCACAACCCAGGTACACACCAAAGGAGTAAATCACAGGACCACAGGGATAAGCAGGGGATTCAAAAATAACCAGCAGGTGGCTATGGAATTAGAAAAGCAGAGGCCCCTCTAGGGGTACAGAAGCCCTTGACTGGTCCCACTTAGGCAAACAGACTCACAGGGCTGATCTTCCCAGCTTTCCAAACTTGAAATCCAGATATTCATGTATAATCTCTTTATGCTAAAAGAAAGTTTTTTACAAATATTATATTGGCCAAATCAAACACATTTGCTGGCCCCTGGTTGGCAACCTCTGCTTTCCACTAGGGTACCTCTAAAACAACCTTAGCCCTACACCCTTTCTAGGAAGACCAGCCACCATCTGAGTCTGGGAAACTGTCAGCTGGCCCCTGCCACCAAGGCTGGCACAGATAATTGAGGTCATTATGTAATAAGCCAGGCATGGTGGTGCACATCTATAATCCCAGCACTCTGGGAGGTTGAGGCAGGAGGATCACAAGTTCCAACACAGCCTAGACAATTTAACAAGACCCTATTTCAAAATTTTAAAATGGCTGGGCATCACCAGCATTTGTTATTGGTTGATTTCATGACAGCAGCCATTCTTTCTGGGGTGAAGTGGAATCTCAGCGTTGTTTTCATTTGCATCTCTCGAATGACCACTGATTTTGAACATTTTTTCATATGTTTATTTGCTACTTCTGCTTCTTTGTCTGAGAGGTGTCCATTTCAGATGCCCATTTTTCGATTAGGTCTTTAGATTTGGGAGGTCTGATTTTTTTTAGTTCTTTGTATATTCTAGATAGTGGACCTTTGTCTGGGGAACAGCTGGTAAAAATTTTTTTCCCACATAAAATGTACCAATAAAATGGGAAAATAAATTTTTTTTTCAATAAAAATAAAAATGGCTGGGTATGTAGCTCAATGTGAGGGCCCTGGCTTAAATCCCCAGTATGTACGCGCGCGCACGTGTGTGTATGTGTGTGTGTGTGTGTGTGTGTGTGTGTGCGCGCGTAAACACATAAATGCCTTTGGTTTCCATAGAAACTCACTAGCCTACTGGTGCAGTGATGGTGAGTGGGGTTGCCTGGCCTACTATGCACCCATTGGTTCTCCTGCCCTTCACTTGTCCCCTTGCCAAGCGTGGGGAACCAGGTGCCCTGGGTGCTGGCAGAGCCAGCACTGGCATTGTTCTGGGTCCCAGTATGGACGGCACATCTTGGGTTCTCTGTGCCTGCAAGGCTGGTGGGGTATAAGGAGTGGAGGTAGGTTAGTTCCTGAAATCTTCAGCCTTTGAGTACCTTTCTAAGCTGCTTAGCCTGGCCTGGCTCGGCCAAGTCCTCTCCCTGAGCGAGTGGCAGGTATAGCAGGTGCTTGCTGTGAAGCTCGTGAGTGCTAGCTTTTAGTGTGTCCTACCCACATTTATTAGTAGTGAGCTCTGGAACTTTGGGGTACATATGATACTGGGTTTCTCCCTCTGTCTACAAACAAGAGCAGATGAGGGGTTGGGGGAGAACATTTGTATCATGGGAAAGGAGGGCAGGGTGGACACAATCCCCTCCAAGGCTCTGCCACTGTGGGGGAAAATAAGAGGTCCCGGTGGTAGTAAGGTTTGGAGCAGGTTCAGCTACTTATAGAAACTGGACCTTGAGTGGGAGGGGTCAGGGCTGCTTGTGGGAACTACCCGACAGGCTGGAGGGAACAGAAATTACAGCTTCATGTTATGGGCTCTGCTGCTCCATTGCTAGCAGCCATAAACCAGTGGAGAAAGTGCCCATCTCCATGGATCCCTGTCCCATGGAAGCCTGTGGCCAGGCTGGCCTCAGGTTGCCACTTGGGCACTGGTATGCCCTCCCCAGCCATGGACCTCATCTCTTCCTCTGCGGTAAGGGGTAAGAAGATGGGGCTGGTGGTGCTGTTTCCCTCAGTTGGGAGTTGCATTGGTACTAAGGCTGGCCTTGAGAACTGTCCTGGGCACCTCTGACGGCAGCCTTGGTCCTTCTACCCTGGGAGGGGACCATTTCCATCTTTCCAAGGCCCACTGTGTATTTCCCTGCTCTTCCTCTTACCCTGCACAGTGTTTTGCTTAACAGAGGGGCTGCTTCCTCCAAATCATCCAGTACTGCATGCACACAAAGGATCACTGGCCAGGCCAAAGCTGCAGGGCTGCACGCACTACCCAGAAAGCCCCAGGGACAAGGAGTAGACAGCCATCCTCCCTCCCCCAGGGCTCCCCTTCGGCCTACCGGAGTGCCAGGGGCCCAGAAACCATGTGAGCAGCAGCCAGAGGGGACAGCCTCCTTGAGTGCGTGGGCTTCCTGGGGGTGCATCAATGCCTGGTCACCTGGGGAGAAGACAGATGGTTACTCAGACAGGCATCAGCAAGGGAGGGAGGGATGAAGAGGAGACTATGAAGGACAGGCAACTGGTAGCCTCCCAGGATCCCTCACTCCCAGAAAGGTCAGGGACTCTATGTGGCGTAGGATACCTAGGAGCTGCCAAGCAAGAGACAGTGGCCACAGTGCCCTATAATCACACCCAACGGCAAGAGGGTTGAGGAGCCCAAGAGCAGATCTGAGAAGCGGAGAGGGTATTCACTACTTTCCCAACATGTGGCTTGGAGATTTAGGGTTCCTCAAAGGCCACCTAGTCTGGAGGTACTGGTGGCAGGAACACAATTCTAGTCAGGCTGCAGAGAGGTGGCAGGAGGCCCAGGCAGGCCCTTCCCAGGCTGCCCACATTTACATAACAAAAGGTCAAAATTGGAGCCACTTGTGCAAAGCCTATTTATAAGAACCAGTCTCAACCGCCCCTAGCTTCCCTGCCTCCTTCCCTCCCAGATCTTCTCTTCCCCAGAGGGCCCAGCCCCCTCCTGCCCAGCCTGACCACATGGCCTCCCCTCTCTGGTGGTTTCACCGCCCGAAGGCTTGCCCCAGCTGCAGGCTGGCCTTTCACTACCAGCCCGCCAAAGCAGCTGGCAGCTGCTGCCAGATGAGCATAGGCCTTTCTTCCCCCAAAGCTCTAGGTGCTCCAGGAGGGGGATCTTAGTGTTCTGGGTCTCTGGCACCCCACTCAAGCCAGCCTGGGCTTCCTTGGAATGGAGCCAGGAGTGGGGGAGGGGGCTACAGCAGCCTGGAACCCATCCTTGCCCGCCCCTCCTCCACCCAACCCCCAGGGCCAGGGAGGCTCAGCAGGTCCCTCAGGAATGTGACCAGACCCGGGTGCGGGCCTGAGGCTGAGAGGCCTCAGCTTCAGGCTGCCAGCTGTCTCTCCAGCCCTTGGCCCAGCTTCCCTCAGATGGAGCAGAAGTGTAAGCAGGGTGGGGGTTGGGGGGTAGGGGCAGAAAGAGGGGCAAATGGTTGGCTCAGGATTCCACCAAAGTCCCAAAGAGCAACAAAACCAGTTCTGGTGGTACAGAACCAAAAGCTCCAAATTTAATGAGGACCAGGCCTGGGTCTCCTCACCCAAGAGTAGGTAAAAGACTTTGTCAAGAGATAGAGCAGAGCCCAGTCTTGGAAGGGTGCAGAGGTCACAAGAACACTAGTGAGGACAGCCCCTAAGGACCCACAGGAAATCACAGGTGGCATGTGAGCCAGCCAATTACCCACCAGGAAGCCTAGGCCAACCCACCTGCTGCTTGCCTCGCTCCCCTCACAACGTGGGGTCAGCCAGAGTCCTGGCAACATATCACTCAGTGACTTCTGCCTCAGTGCCCACAGACCCTGCAACCACCCTTGACAGGGGTCTGACCAGCTACTGTACACCAGAAAATGAACGGCAGAAAAGGATTCAGGGTCACCTGAGCACCTCAGGGGTGGGAATGCCCTCCGTAAGTACTCAATGCCAGTGTCACTGTCGTGTCTTGCCTGGGAATTCACCAACCCAGGTTAAGCTGAGTGACTGACCAAGGTCTTCCAGCCAAGGAGGCACAGGCCCTAGGCTGTGCCAGACACGACTCCCAGCAGAATAGAGGAGGGCTAACCTCCCTGCTCCTTCCATAGGGGTCGGGGGTGGAGTGACCAACCACAGTTGGGTGCCCTGTGGAGAGCTCACAGAAGCACAATGTTGCCCTGCCTGCCATCCACACCCAGGGTGGCCAAGTCTGCCTACAAGTGACGATCTATCCTCACCTGAAGAGAGGGGGCCACACCCAACTATGTGGTACCTTGCAGCCTACAAAGCACTGCTCTTTTCTTCCTAATCCAAACGACAAGACAGCCAGAGTACTCTACCCACTCTCTACCAGATACCTACCCTGGAGACACCATGCCTGGGGGAGTGCCAAGGACCTGGAAACATGGTTGTGGGTGCTTGCAGAGAACCCCAATACAGAGGCTGGTTCCCAACCCTAGCAGGCGCCCAGGATGAGAATACAGGCTGCTACCCAGCAGCCACTGTAAGGAGACCCCAACAGTGTGGCTGTCGGCCCAAGGAGAGCAAGTCCAGCCCCAGACCACTGGCTCCCAGGATATCCAGGATCTGAAGCAGTGGAACAGCAAGACTTGAGAGCAGGGCTCTCAAGCTGACCAGATATTTCTCTAGGGCTGTGACCTAGCCTAGTGGTGGTGAACCTATGGCATGCGTGCCTCAGCGGGCTGTATTACTGAAAGCTTTAAAAGGTTCATCATGACTGACCTACTCTTTCCCAGGTACAAAACTTTCAAAGGACCCAGGGAAGGTACAAGAAAGGGGGGCACAGAAACTGTGCCCCTGGTTAGGAAACCCCAGCTCCAGATTCCCTGTGGATGGACCCCACAGAGACTGACCTCAGAAGGCAAGGACCAGCTCTCACCTTGAACAAAGACATGGTAGAACAAAATGACTGGGTTACCTTCCCTTCCTTCCTGGACACAACACCAACTACTATTTACTGGACATTGCTGTTCGCCCCGCCACACTGCCCCTTTCTATGTGCTTCATTCTTTAACCTTCATGGGCTCGGCGGCTCAGAAGCCTGTGTACTACACCTTCCCCAGGTGACCAAGCAGATGCCCCTCTCATCTTCCCAGTTTATCTGAGCCCTCATGCCAGCACCCACCCACCTCTCACCTCCTTACAAGAGAAGACAACCTGGGTTAGGTCATCTTCAGCCATGGGGATGCACACCTCTCCTGTTGCTGGTTTCCAGCCCACCTGTGATGCCAATGCAGGGTTCAGTATCCATTTCTCAATAGGCACAGAGCCCAAGGGCACATGGAAAGCAGCTCATGTGAGCAGAGCAGCCACAGTTCCTCCAGCTTCTTCCTGACTGGGCAGCCCTTAGTGTCTCCAGAGGGCAATCAAAACCCCAGGCCCAAGACACACTCCATGTCCACCTACTTCTCCACAAACCCTTGATCCCTTTACCCACACCCCCACAGACATCCTATGAATAGCCAATGAGGATGGCAGAGGACAGGGCTTGTGGCTTCCCACACCCACCTCACTGTCTCCCGACCCTCAGAGTGGCACTCTATTAGGGCACTCACCCATCCATGATCCCATGGGGACAGAGATCCCCTACCCGCCTCTATGTCTAGCTCTGACAGTCCATACGGCCTCAGGCTGGTGGGGTAGGGGGGCTGGTCCAGGCTACCTCCAGGTTTCTCTTTCCAATGGGCAGGAGAACATGCTGTGGCTCAGCATCTCTCCAAGGCGATGAAAAAGGAATGCAATCCTTGCTTATGAAGAGAACTCCACCCCCACCCCCTCATTCCAATGGGCACCACCCCACCTCAGCCTGGACACCAACCTTGCCCAGAACCTTGGACTCCACAGGCTGCCCACTCTGAACTGCTTCAGTTATTGGGCCTCCTTGGGGTTCCCCTCTGGACACCAGGCTGGCGGTCCTTCATCTGAGACAAAAGTATATCCCACCAGGCCACCAGTAAAGACCAAGCTCAGGGCGTGGTTTCAGGCCACATGATACTTCTCACCCTTCTCCCACTCAATGCTTGATCCCTGAGGCAGGAATGAGCCCTCCTGGAGGCTACTGCGGGCACCTGGACTGGAATTCTTCCTGCCTCAAGGCCAACCAAGAGGCCTGGTGAAAAGGGTAAAGGGCAGCGAAGGGAACCCTTCCTGAGGAGGCCTCCTACTCAGTTCTCCAGGACACTTTCTCATCCCACCTCCCTCCCTGGTGACCATCCCTCACTTCCTCAGAAGGGAACTTCCAGCAGGAGGCCTGGGGGATTGAGAAGCTCCAGGCCAGCCCACCCCAAAGAACTAAGTGGAGGGGCCGGGGATTTAGCTCAGTGGTTTTGCCGCCTGCCTCACAAGCACAAGGTCCCGAGTTCGATCCCTGGTACCAAAAAAAAGAACTAAATGGAGAGGGCTGCTTCCAGAAAGGAATGCCTACCCAGAAGTAGAGCAAAACAGGAACCCTCTGCTGGCACTGAAGACAGCTGAGAGTAAGCACCTCTGCCAGACAGAAAGGATAAGACATGCCAGGAAGAGCACAGCCAACAGGCAGCTTCCATTCTCAGAGGTTTAAGCATATCTGACTAGTGTCAGAGAGGATACTGAACATCCACCGCTACCCCTAAATCTGAATCTGAGGGCAGCATAAGCCCTGGTCCCACACCAACACCAACCCCCAATTATGTTCACTTCATGTTCCAGGTGTGGCCCGAATAGGTGTGGCTGCAAAGGGTAAGCACTCCCAAAGCAGAGTAGAGACTGCCTGGAAGGGACAAAGCAGCTCGGGATCCAGAAGAGCCCCAAGGCCCAGGCTGGACCCAACAGCCAGGCCGGAGCAGAAGACTCCATTCATTCTGTTCCTTCATCCCAGGGTCCTCCTCCATGAAGCCCTGCCCGTCACTACCCTCCACCATAGCCTATGCAGTGTCCTCGGTCTGTATGACAGGGGTTAGGGGTGTCATTCAACAGATCTGGTCTCACTGAAGCCTCCTATAGCCCCGTGAGAAGTATTATCTCCACCTCCAGTTGCAGATAAGAAAATGTTCTTGGAGGTTAAGCAACTTGCTCAAGGTGACAAAAACAAGCAGGCAGTAGTGAGGACTCAAAGCCTCACTTCAAGGCTATGGTCAGCCTTCCTCACCTTACTTTGACACAGGACCAGTGATGAGGCTCATGGAACGATTTGACTACCAAACTGTTCACAGGAGCTGAGGCAGCTGCTCTCCCACCCCAGCACCAGCAGAGCCTCACCTGGGCTGTGTTCTCCTGAACTCACTGTGCGGGCACAGGACCAGCTCTACCAGAAGGGACAAGGTGGAGCCTCATCATGCAGTCTGCTTTGGGGAGCTAAGAACAACTCCAGTTTCAGTGACTTCCTGCCATGCCACCAGGCATGGGCTGGTGGTGGATGGGGCACACCACTCTGGGCAAGCCTGGCCATGTAATCTAGCCCAGGTCTGGATGCTGGCCAGGCACTCCTGGCTCTGCTCCCAGACTGTCCTCCTGGAAAGCAACAGGCTCTGTACACACCAGGACCCCAGCCCTATCTCCACGGAAGCTTCTATGAAACAAACACTTGGGTTCCACTCAGCACATTGGCGATGTGGTGATGAGGATCTACTGGCCTTTTCCTTCACCTCAGGCCATCTCTGTTGCCCAAAGCAAGAGATAGCATCCATCCAAGCTCCGATGACTTCTCCAAACCCATCCTGAAAGCCCTGGGGCCCTACTGGAGACTCATGCTGCCCACTCTGAGCTGAGCTCTGCCTATTACCCTAACCACCGACCCCTATGTGCTCTTTTTTTTTTGACACAGGGTCTCACTTTGTTCAGGATAGCCCTAAACTCACTATGTAGCCCAGGCTGTCCTCGAGCTCATGGCAATCCTCTTGCCTCTGCCTGCTGAGTGATGGGATTATAGGCATGTGCTGGCCTGGCCCTGTGCTGTTCCCTCTTGAGAGTAAAGTGCAGTACCCCACCAGGCCCTGTGGCCCCCGAACCTTGCACCCCCTAAAAGCACAGCCTCATCCCCTTCTTCTACCATTCCTGGCTTTGTTTTTTTGTGGTGCTGGCGATTAAATCCAGTGCCTCATGCGTGCTAGGCAAGTACTCTACCAGTGAGATACATCCTTGGCCCTTTTTTAAAATGTTTATTCTGACATAGGGTCTCACGAAATTGTCCAGACTGAACTAAAACTTGCAATACTGCCTCAGACTCCCAGGTAGCTGGGATTACAGGTGTGTACCACCATATCTGGCTTCGAAGCCAGTCATGAGTTGGACCAGTTAGATTTTCCCTGCTGATGCTGTCCCAGAGAAGGCCCAGGCCTGGTCCTGCCTGGCTGTGCACACTTTCGGGAGAGGTACTTGAAGATGAGGAATAACTGAAGAATGTAAGGAATATTAGGGAAACCAGGCTTACCTCCAAACTGTGTCCACACTGTCCTGACCTCCTGGGAGGGGCCTGAGCTATGGCTAAAAGATGCATGGGGAGCTATAGCACGGAAGTACCAAGAAGTTGGCAGGACAGCAGAGCAGGGGGTAGCTGCCATCCCTCCGAGGCAAAGACAAAGTAGAAATTGAGAGGCAAGACAGTCCAGTATGTGCTTCTCAGAGGCCTCTATGGCCCCAAACCCCCGACCTTTTGCTCATGGGTGTGGCCCAAGGACCAGCAGCAACATCACCTAGGAGCCCTTTACAAATGAAGATTCCCAGATCCCACTTGGAGATACCAAATAGAGCTCCAATCTTATCTTAGCCCCTGGAGAAGCAATGTGCACTCACAATGAGAAGTGCCGGGTGGGGAATGAGCCTTCTACTGCTTGGAAAGCCAAATGTTTTGCAAGCAGAAAGTGCTCAACTGAGGGACATTAAGTAGAAGAAAAAACCCCAAAAGGAAGACACATTTCCCAACAAGGTCAACAATCCCAGCAAGTGGTAACCATAAATGGCAGACCTAGAACATGAAACAGATGAGACAGTGAGGTCCAGCCTTACAGCCAGGCACCTTGGAGCCAGGATAGCGGTTACAGGTTGGGGGAAGGTTTCTGAACAACAAACCCTCAGCAGAGAAGAGGCGTGGGCAATGGATAAAGAAACAGTTCTACAGGCTGGAGGTGTAACTCAGTGCTAGAGCACTTGCCTAGCATGTGAGAGGTCCTGGATTCAATCTCTAGAACCAAAAACAGAGAAAGAGAGACAAAGAAAGACAGATCCATGAGGAAGGGAAGAAGGAAATGCAATGACAGTACAGCAGTAAATAGGTGGAAATTCCACACTCACAGAGTTAAAAGGGCACAGGGAAACCTGGGCCACTCAGGGACTATCATAATCATCTCACCTGCCTGGGGACATCCTTCCAATGAGGTAACTGAGCCCCAAAGGGAGGTACATGTCACAGGTGAGTCATGGCAATTGCCTAGCCCACAGCTCCAGGAGGCAGACTCTCCACTTTCCCAATCTCAAAACCAATCCTGGTAGCTAACAATTTCTTATGCCAAGTAGAGACTTTAAAGAATTAAAAAACAAAAACCCTATCATCTTCTATCACCATTACTTCATAAAAGCTAACATTCCAATGACCAAAAACATAGGATGAACCATTCCCCAATGTAGATAAGTTCCCCCCCAAGAAAAGAGTGGCTGCTAACTCTTCACCCACATTTCTGTCCAAGAATGGTAAAAGTTCTGGGGCAAGCTGGCATTAAAAAAACGATAGTGCCCTGCTGCACGGCAGTGTGACCCTCTGGCCAGAACAAAACTGAGATGGCATGCATCTTGAGTCTTTTGTCTTGGCAGCAAAAAATAAAAACATGAAAATTCCATGCCAAACAATAATGATGGGATTTTAACTAGCCAACAAAGACTAAAAGAACATTCCCCAGATTTGAGAGACAGGGGTCTATTTTAAAATAAGACTAGGAATGGCTGACACAGTAGCACACACCTGTAATCCCAGCTGCACAGGAAGCTAAGGCAGGAGGACTACAGCACCACATATTTAGGCTGAATGACATGAAATGAGCTGTGTAGAGGTCAAAAACAGCTGATTAATTTGTTTTACTCACATTCAACACAGAGTAGATGAATCTCTCAAAAACACTGCTGAAGAAAGAAGCCAGACGCAAAGAAACTATGAGGTACAGTTTCACTTACGTAATTTCAAAAGCAGGCAATACTAATCCAGCCCTAGCTGTAAAGAGGAGCATTAGAAGAGACTGCAAAGGGTTCACAGAAGGGTTCTGGGCTGGTTTCTCAATCTGAATGCTGGTTACACAAGCATGTTCACTGAATTCTTAGAGCTATGCACACTTTCTCCATAGGACGCACTTCAATTCCATACAGTGCATAGACACTTTTGGATGATGGTCTACCAAGTAGACCCAGTCCAAGACAGCCCCTGAACCTTCAAATAGTAACAACCACATCACAAGAGGTAGAATACTGGCAGGAAGCTGGCAACATGTCAAAAGTCCAAGAGTGTGTCCTGAAGAGGAACTCACAGGAAACCTTGAGACCACTTGAAAATTTTTTTATTAGGAGCAGACTCAGCCACCTAAAGATGAAAAAAACCACCCTAAAATGTTCTTTAATCATCCTAGGTCTCACACTGGGAGTGGGACAAGGAGGGGCTCTCAGATCCTGAAAGAACAGCAAACTCAAGAGCTGGGCAGAAGAGATCCAAATAGTAGGACACCAAAGAACGCCCAGCCAGGATCTCAAGCAAGCATTTGGGTATATCAAAGGGAGGAAGTCAAGAAAATAAGGAAGGTCCTCAGAAATCTGAGGTCAAAACAAACTGCTAGCGAGAAGGAAGCAGCCCACAGTTCTGCTTGGGTAATCCACCCCACATCTCCAGTGCTTCAAACAAATGGTTCAGAAGCTACAGCCAAAGATCAAGGATCAAGTTTTTTACTAAAAATAGGAAAGTGGGGGGAAATCAAGTTAGAGATATCTTAGGCACCCATCAAAGCTTAGAAAGCAATTTTTTTTTTTTTTTTTTTGGAAACAAGGTCTCAATATGTAGCCCCAGGAGGCCTCGAACTCCCAAGTGCTGGGATTACAGGTGTGCACCACCACACCTGGCTAGAAAGCAATTTTAAAGGATAAAATTAAGGAACTGCTGTGGAAAATATTATAATCTATGACCCTGAGCCACAAAAGCCTTCAGGTGGGACAATTAACAAAGAGGTCTCACCTGTCCAGCAGCTAACTTGAAAGAGTCTAATAAAGGAGAAGCTGATAGCTCCACACAGGGACTGGAGCCCCACTGGGACTTGGGCAGGATGGGAATGCTCAGTTTCACTGTACAGTACTTTTTCAATTCAATGCCAGGAACCAGGGATTTAGCTCAGTGGTTCCACCGCCTGCCTCCCAGGCACAAGGTCCCAAGTTCCATCCCCGGTACAAAACAAAAATAAACAAATAAATTCAATGTCAGTAGTGCAGGAAGGATTATTTAGCATTAAGGAAACAGTTTGGGGACAGAAAATAAAATAAACAAGCACTTATCTGCCTGGAGGAAAATAACTCAAGGGTGGAAAGTGGACTACTTAGGAAACAGCAAAAATAAAAAGTGAAAACTACCAAATGTCACTGCTGGTAGGACACGTGGTTATGTGTGGAATAGTACTATCACAGAACTCTCTAAGCAGGGAACAGGAACACAAAAAACACAGTCACAGTCACAAAGTGGTCAGTCTCTCCAGGGTGTACAGTGTTCAGTTCTGTATGTGGAGCACAAACCCAGCTAAAACAAGCTGCCCAATGTTTTGGGATCCAGACAGTTGCAGGAAATGACAAAGAAAAGCTAGGGAAAGGTTAACTCACAATTCAGAATAGTGGCTTTTAGGGAGGAGAGAATGAAGGTGGAGGAGAGAATGTGGGTGTCCAAGGGACTGAGGGAGGCTGCTTCTTACTTGTTGATGGGGGGGGCTAGGTAGGGTATACTAATTAGTAGGACCCCACTATTGATTTCATAGTGGGTTTTCCACTATTCCTGTATTTAAGATGTGTATGTATATACATGTAATTTATATCATCTGGTTATTATTTTTGTAAATAACTTCTTAGAGCTTAATCACTAGGTGTATTAAGGACACTGAGCCCCCCCTTCTGTGCAGAAGTCCCAAAAGAAGGGGGGGGGTGCGCATTCCTGATCCAGGAAGGAGCCAAGAGGCTAAAGCTGAGGGACCCTCCCAGAGCACCTCCTTCTCACCACCAGTAAATTCCTCAGAGCCACGGTGTTGGGCAACTGCAGCAACAACACACAGATGAAGGCTTTGGAGGGCTCAGTTCCCACAGCAAATAACCCAGAACATATATCACCCTGTCCTCATAAATACATAGCAAAAGAAGTTGGGGCCTCCATACCAAGACAGCACGCATGCCTAACCCAACCCAACAGGAGTTGCCTAGGACAGGAAAATCCTAGGTATCCTTCCAAGGACTGGATGCAAAGGCAAAGGAATGACAGAGTCAGGGCCACTCTAAGTAAAAAGATGAAAGTCTAAAACACCTATCTCAGTGGTACAGCACTTACCTAGCATGTGTAAAAGACTTGGGTTCCTTCCTTATTCAATCAATCTCTCTCTCTCTCTCTCTGAACCAAAGTCTAGAACATGACTCCCCCGTGCAGCCCCTCCAAGTCCCTGCCTTCTCTGATTTGAAGTCCAATAAATCCTGAGTTATCTTTCACAAATACCCATCAAGTCACTTCCCCTGCTTAAATCTTTCAATGGATTCCTGAGGCCTGGGATAAAGTCCATGCTCTGACCTGGCACAGAGAGCTCTTCCCTCAGGAGCACGAAGCCCACCTGCCCCTTCCCATAGTCCCGCCCTGCAGGATGTGTCCTCCAATGGGAGGACCTTTCCCTTTGAGTCCCTTCCTCATCAAAGCCCAACTGCCTTTTCACCTGTCCTCGCCAAGTATCAGCACTAGCTGCCGAGGTGTTTCTGTCCTGTCCCTATCTCCCTCCTGCCCACCCAGACTCCCACTGCTTGACACCCAGTGTCAAGGGCCCTGGCCCCAACCAGCCAAACGGCAGCACCACTTGTATGTTCAGAAGCATCTGTTGGATGAGCAAATGCCAGTCAGGAAGAGGTAAAGCTGAGAAGAGACAAGATGAAGTAATACACAAAAAAAAGATGGATAAGGAGGCAGAGGCTCTCCCTCGTCACTGATCCAAAATCATGTTAACATTCTTAAAAAATTACTTGGGACTTAGGCAGGCAAAGTGTCACATGCCTGTAATCCCAGCACTTGAGGCACCAAGAGAATTGCTGAGTTCAAGGGTAGCCTGGGGTATATTGTGGGTTCAAGGCCAGCCTGAACTGTTTCAAAAACAAACAACAAAAGTCAGAAAAAGATAAACTTTTGCTTATGTGGCTTTTATGTTACTGTATTTGATATTATTGTACCCATATATGTCACTGTTCTAGTTACTGTACTTAAAAAAACTGATTTTAAAAATACTGATTTAAAATATCAACAATAACCCAGGTGTGGTGGCGCACACCTGTACTACAGTTAGTTCAAGGCCAGCCTGAGCTACATTTCAAGACCCTATTTCAAAAAAAAAAAAAAAACCCAATAAATTTAGTTCATGTCAACATGCCTGTTCTACCACTGAGCTACACTCCCAGTCCTTTTCATTTATTTATTTTTAGATAGAGTCTTGATAAGTTAGTTGCGCAGGTGGGACTCAACCTTGTGATCCTCCTACCTCAGCATCCCAGAGCCCTGGGATTAGAGGGATATACAACCAAACCCAGCTGTGGAGTTCCTTTGTTTTGTTTTGGTTTTACAGTACTAGGGATTGAACCTAGGATCTTCTCATTGAGGTACATCCCCAGTCTTTTTATTTTTGACAGAGAGTCTCAAACTAAGTTGCCCAGGCTGGGCTTGAATTATTTACAATCCTCTTGCCTCAGCTCTCCACAGTGCTGCAACTACAGGCATAGAAGCCTAGCTTCTCTTTTTAAATTAATCATGGTTATGTCTTTTTTTTCTTCTGATGCTGGGACTTGAACTCAGCAGTTCACACACTAGGCAAGCAGTCTACAATACACCATGCCCCAGCCCAATTTCTTGATTACTATACTAAAGTGTGATGAGTGGGTTTCTTAAAAACTGCAATGTAGAATCTAAAATCCTATCAGTGACTATTTGGCTGCGCCTAAATCCATTGGTCTACCTTACATTCCTCCAGAGAACTGTTGTTTTTGGTGGTGTATAAGACTGAACTCAGGGCTGTGTGCATGCTTGAAGTTCTCTACCACTGAGGCCTCCCTCCTTTTTTCTTAAGATGGCAGTCTTATTACGTTGCCCAGGCTGGCCTCAAACTCAAGTGACCTTCCCACCTCAGCCTCCTGAGTAGCTGGGAATATAGGAATACACTACCACACACAGCTAC